AAATACTACCCCCTCTCTTTACCACGTCCGTAAACCAAGAAAAATCAACTATCAAAATAAATTTTTCTCAGCCCAAATACGACCTCTCTTCTCCCGGTGAGCAAATGCGGCCCCCCTTGTTGGGGATTCCCGAGCAACGATGTGGCCTGAATTGTAGTCCTCCGAATGCTGTAGAGGTGAATATCTTCGAAATCCCACGGCCCTGGGAGAACTCACTCCGGCCCTGGGAAACTTCACTTTTCCTCGATATTTCCGTTCTGAATAGTTATGTTGAAAGAATAGAACTTCTTGAATCATTTATTCATTCACTTGGATGGCTCATTATGGGAAACGAAGGACAAGCAGTGCCTTGAGCAACATATTCAGATAAATACAAGAATCAAGTAAATCAAGAATTGTAGTTCGGGAAGGTGAGCAAAAAATTCGGCACAATAACACTTGACGAGGAGCCGTTTTTTTCATGAATTGCCCGTGGGACGGCACGTTTTTCTTCGTAGAAACTTAGTAATTTTTGAATAAATGAATGGCTACGGTCAAAGTGTTTCAAGAAATGCAAAAGGTGAGAATACGAAACTCGATCTTCGAAACAATTTAGCTTTTATTGCTCCAGTCCTCCGAAATCAGTCCACTTTTTACCATGTTTTCTGGAAGCAGATTTGGCTGAAAATTTGTCTCCCGGGGTACTTGACTTCTTGAAGATCAATCCCCCAAAATGTTGTTCTTCAAATTTTATGATAGAAAATGAAACAATCGCGCAGATTTTGAGTTATATAATAACTGTCGGACAGCATTGGGTGACGCCGTTCCACAAGACAAACTGAATGTCGTCCACCACCGACGGAAATTGTCGTCAACGCGTCAAGTCGGTATGATATTCTTGTTCAGGAGGTCGAGCTACCCCTAGAGGACTAGTTTTCAGCGAATTTGATGACCCAGGACATCTGGCGCCTGTGGTGAGGGCGCCAGGCAGCTTCGTGGCATGCGACTATGATATTCGTGTTCATGATTCGTGTTCACGAGGTCAAGCTGCCCCAGGAGACAAGTTTTCAGCGAATTTGGTGATTTATGGTATTTTGGCGCCGGCGCCTATGGCGCGGGCGCCAGGCAGTTCGTGCCAAGCGACTGTGGTATTCGTTTCAGAGGACAAGCTACCCCCCCCCCAGGGACACGTTCACGACAAACTTGGCTGTTCGTCCATCTTTATTCTTAGAAAAAAAATACTGGCAGACACCATTGTCTGCCATCGTCCACAACGTGATAAAGGAAGATGAAGGGCATGCTACTGCTAAGGCAGCGTTCAGACTTTGCGATGACGTCGCGCTACTATTGCAATGTCGCTTTACACCGCGAAAGAAAGCACAATGACAGAGACAGGTAAAATGTGAAACAGAATGGACAAGCCCAGCAAGACATGTCCAAGTTTCGAAATCAGGTCAAATGTTTCGCTGAGCAAAAAAAGTGTCATAACAAATACAAACACAGGGTAATTCCTTAACCGCGCAAGTACTGAATGTCATTTTCTATCAACAGCTGACCATCCTGATCTTAATATGACAAGGGCACATGCGCAGAGGCTGTGATTAAACCAAGTGATGTCGCACTCCCTTGCGTAAGCGAAGTAGGGGACAGCACATTCAAAGCGTTCGCTGGGCGTAAAATATCGGCGGAACACAGCAACGGCAGACAGAGTGCGGTCTAACGACCAGAATGAAAGCGTTAGACTTAATGACACATTACGCGATTACCTGATGAGTGGAACTCCTCTTCTGTGCAAATAGTGTATTATATACTTTTGCTCTGACAGAGTGACGAAACTGCGGCAGTGGTTCGCCGAAAGGAAGCCACCCGCAGAAGTGGTTAGGGACAAAATCCTGAGGTCCTATGTGTGCTCACAAACGCGGAATGTGCCTTCGAGGCAAGTGACGCAGGCACTGCACGCTCAAATGAACAGGAGGTATTGAGATAGTCATTTGCTACATAATTGCAGATACGCACTATGCTGTGACTGGCTTGTGACTTCTTTTTCAAATTTTACAGAGAACGGCGAATAAGTTGTTGCGTCAAAAGTGATGTCAGAACCGCGTTAGTCCAACCACTGGAAGTATGGTCGATATTTTCACGGAGCTCTGAAAATAATGTTATAAAATACGAGAACATAAATAATAGCAAGCAAAACATACTAATTGTATACCGTTAGCGTTGTTGCTGGACTAATTTGAGAACTAAGGAAGAATTCGGACTAGTTATTCCCACTTGAAGGCCTCTAAACGAGGTGAAGGAAGAAAACTCGCCGTGTTCGTAACGGCTTCAGAAGAACCGGTCTTCAGCCGATTATTTCAAGGTTTTCCCGTGGTTTCTGAGCCGTGATTTTGGTACGCCCTGTTTATTAGTTACTGATGTTGGGCCGAGTCTAGACCAAAGTATTTCGTAGTCTGTTTTTGGAGGATAATATGAAACATTCATCTACTATCAGAAGAATTGGATGTGATTGTCCCGGTTGTAATTTGATTGAATTCGCTGTCTTTTCTCTTGTCTCACACCTCTTTCCTGTTCCTTTAGTTTTCTTGTTTCCATGGCTTGAGCTCAATCAGTTGAGCAACATTCCAGGTGGTAAATGGTTTTCCTGGTAGCGAGTAAAGAGTAATCGTTAGTGATTGCAATTGACTCACATTGACATTTGTCGGGCGACATCCTAGCAGGATAAGAATTTTTTTCCGAATGTCACCATTCAGAATAAGAGTCATCCATGCGTTCACGTACGAAAAGAAGCAACTGATAACCGGAAATAATGTCCTCATCGCAAATATCGGACCTTCCTGAAGAGCCTTTCTGATATACTGCCGGTTTTGAATTGCTTTATTTGTAATACGTTGGCGGATAAGTTCATTTTTCTTTGTTCAATAGTCCTTCTTTCTCAGCAGTAACAAATCAATATTTTCCTCGTTTCTTACTACTTTACGGCCAAGCTGTTTATGCCTGAATATCGCCTGTCCAGGATTCAATGATGTGGTTAAGTTAACGTAGAGTGATGTAGTATGCAAGTATATTACTGTTTTTTGCTACTGAGTATCCAAATTACTGTTCGACTATTTATCTCCAGATTAATTTTTATTGTGGATGAATTGAAATATGTCTTGACCTTGAGATAAACTTTTGATTATTCACCAACGGTAATCAGATAATTAGTTAATTTTTTGGATTTAATTGAGTTACAATTAGCGATGCTCATCATTAAATATGAAGTTGATGAAAAAAGTCATGTGACAGTTGTGATTTTTTTTGTTCTCTATTTTTTAACCAACCATACAATAGAATTGAATCAACAATATAATGACCATCGTTATCCACGAGTGCTCCCCCTGATGTGTGGTTCAGCGAGTCTTTTCTCCTGGAAATGGGGAGGCTGCGAGCCAAAGAACTCAATCTGGACTGCCATCAAACCTGTGGAACAGCTAAGGAAGCCTGAAGCGGGTGGAAGAGGTAATTGTGTGAAAGGTCAATATCAGAAGGGTATGGTGGATGGGAATGATCTCCAGTCCAGCAGCATAGGACAACCTTCTTGAGCTCTGGTACACTGACAAGACTTTCTGACCCGTCTATTTATTTAGTGGTCGTGATGACCCAGCTTTATTGGCTTGAGCCAGTTTCCCATGGCTTACATAGGCATTCTTGTTGGGCACGTTAATCTTCTACAGCTCAACGAATGAAGCAGACCCTCCAAACTTGACCAAAAGGCCTCAGCTCTGATCATCCCAAATGTGTGAGCGGCCAGTTGCCTCTTCGGATCACAACAGTTCGAATAGGTGAATCTTTTCAAGAATTTATTCAACTTACATTTGTATGAAGCGAAAATGTGAACTGTAGAATATTGTAGACGAACACGAGAGCGAATGCGACGAATAGTCCTAACATTTGCAAATACAGGCGTTGTTCTCGCTTTATCGCTCTGAAACTTTGCTAATAACTTCAAGCATTTACTCAAGAGCTAGTGGCTTTGCCATGAATGAGCTCACTCGCTGCTGTCCAATCGGTTTTTCATCAGAAATCTCAGTATGGCGCCGTAGCATATGCTACATTGAATGAACGTGACAGATGGCCCATGGATACGCAGCTGAACAAGCAAGCTGAAAAAATTCGCAGGATAAGAGATGTGTATAGAAACTGGGAACTCGGATTTTTGTTCTTGTTCTCAAAAATTCTCTAAATTCTTGTGTAAACGTCTCTTGAAATGGTAGACCTGAAATAGCCGGTAATCAGACACTAACCAGAGAAACAACAAATGTTGAGCCATGTTCACTACAAAGAACTTTTCCAGTGACCTACTCAAACTCTTGCGCTTGTAGGGGATTCATTCTTTGATCTCAAAGCTTTTAGGGAGATAATCGCTACCAGGACACTTTGCAACTTTTTATTTCCATCTCGTCCTTCAGTATTTTAGGTGACATTACGCAGCTATAAGGAAGTCTATCATAAATAGCTGGTTCCTGCACCATAAGAGGGAATCATAGACATCTCCACCAGACGCTATTGGCGAACCCATTTCGCTCTTTTGAGGTTCCCTCTACGCCAATGTTTGGCTTGAACCCCTTTCGTTCCTGGCCAAGTCAAAGAAATACTATGAAATTTTCGAGGACCGAATTGTGACCTTCCTTCGCCCTTTAAAGGCAGTTGGCACGATGGTTTCCTACTTAGCCTAAAATGCTAGTAGGGCGCTGTATAGTGGGGAAATGGCGAAAGAACGGAGTGAAACGGTCAAAATCCTGCGAAGAAAAAGCCTCCGTTCTCAGTGACTTGTAAATCG